ACCACGATTTCGTTTAACCAAGGTAAACATTCTTTTATGGGGAACTGTATACGTTTTTACAGTAAGATTCCGGAGCATGTATTAAGTTTATCATTTCCTAAGTTTCAAAACTACATTAAAAATATTTTAATCGAAAAATCATATTACAAAATTGAAAACTACGTGTTAGATAAAGATGTATGGAAAGACGACACTGCTCCAGAATCCACACAAATTTGATTCAAAGTGTATTCCATAGCATTTAAGTTTTTTTGAAAAGAGCAATCCCTAGAGTTTCTTGCTCGTTCTTCTCAGGGAGGTCAGCGTAATGAACGAGCAGTAAATTTATTTTACCTATGGAATAAATAAGCTTTGACTTTGAATTATGTGATGACGGTGAACAATCTCACATCATGGAGAATGCGCGCTGTGTATTTTTAACTGTATGCAGTCAGTTTTGGCTGCATGCAGTTGTCACTGCGCGCCTAGTCTAGGAGCTCAGTGTAAAAGATGACGTTGAAAAGGAAGCACGTCTGTTACTTATATTCACTCGAGTAATGATAATAAGTTATTTGGATAGATTGTTTGTTAATATTGCTGGGAATGACAGTTAATGGTGTTGGGCTATGAAATAAATTAATTGAAATATTTTTTTAACTTGTTCATTTCACAAGGGTTTAATGGATGTTACTTCTCTTATTAAAAACGAAAATGTACAGTGTGGATATATCCATTATTATTACATTGTGAAATAGAAGAGGATTTTAGTACCCAGGACTAAACTATTTAAGAATGTCACTTGCTGCTTTTGAGTCTCGGACTAGCGAATAGATTGCACAACCCGTAATTGTATCCAGCCTATGATTTGACTGCAAGCACTTGAAGTTCAGACTGCATGGAGTTGAAGTTACGTCAGTCAAGTCAGTGGGCAATCGATCATGACAGTATGCAGCTGAACGTGTTAACTGCAGTCTGTCTGATAGCAGCCTAATTGCACGAAACACATTTGCATAGAGCGTCCGCACATTACTAGACAACTATCATAGCCAGAAAACTACTTACTTAACTTCTAAATTGCAAGTCTCTATCTTATGTAGATTTTGGATTGACGAAGATATTCTTTTCTAGCAAATTTAGAAACTTCAAAGTTTTCTTTCAATTAGTTAGTGTTTACTCTGTAGAGGTAAATATAATTAAAAATCGTAAAATATTAATGTCTCCAGTGCTAAATTTTCTTTTGCCTCTTTAGCCTCGTTTCTGATTCGATCTCACAGAAACTCCGAGCATAGTTCTTTCCGTTCAGTGACCATGAGCATTCTTATTCCTTAAAAACAATGTATCTGTGCCATTTTATGACTCCATAAGACGAGACGAACTAGTCGTGTACCTGGTGGTAAGCGAGACGCCTGTCCATAGCAGTTGCAGTGCCATTTTTAAATTTTTAAAACGCCAAGATCTGATGGGGACTGTAACAGCGCCCGTCTCACATTGAGACAAGTTGACAAGTTCACATGTGTATATGTCCCTGTAATTTTATCAACAGCCTAACTGAGAAATAGATAAAGTGGCAGTACTTCCCAAGACAAACTCTTTCATAAGGAGCTTTACTGCTAACAAGAATTACGTTTAATACTATTTTTTTTTCTGTCAATCTCTTTAGACTCCAAGTACGGACATCGAGATATATCCCATCCCATTGATTACACAAATCTGAACCGAAGTTGTATTATTTGTCAAAGCGACTTGTGATGAACCCTCTGCAGATTTACGTACATTTTCATTATTTTTGTGTTCTTTTCTTTTGTATCTCTTTGTTATTGATGTTTTGCGTAACTCAATGTTTTCATAAATGTTTCCTTTCGTTTAAAAAGCATTTGACTATAGACACAATTTTTCTAAAAGTAATTAATAATATTTCAGTACACATCTTTCTATATTACTAAATGATTAATTATATTGTAAATTGCACAACCCGAGAATAGATTTTTGTTTCTCACAATTTAAAGTCAACTAATGTAAAATTACTGACAGTGGGTACATTCATTTTCTAGAACAATGAAGCTACTTAAATACTATCGTAACAATCTATCATTTTACATTTATATATTACCAAGTATAGTTTGCTCCTTCGTAGACCACCGGCACCGCGAATTAAAAGCGCGATTAAATAAGACAGTATAGACCATGATAATAGATTGTAACCATAATCATCTTTATATAATACATAATGTATGTAAATGCGCTGCAAAATATTCCCCATTTCAAACATTTGCTTGGAGCGATTACACACATCGACTTTTAGCCGCGCGCCTGAAGGATTTCAGTCGCGATGCTGTAACGATGTAATTGGTAAAAAGCAGCGATACTCAACAAAATTTTTAATCATCAACATAGGCCACTGCATCGATGCAGTCGCGCCTTTGTACCGATGCAACCACCTATAAATCGCTAGAGTCGCAATAAAATATCCCGTTTCATAAACACGCGTTTCACAAACGTGCATTTATATACATAGGGCGCACTATAAGTGTCCGGAACTGGCCACTAACATAAATAATATTTAAAAAGTAATTACAACATTTCAAAATGGAATTCTTTGGCTGTAGCATAGAGTTTGATTCTTCTGACTGTCACTTGTTTTTACATTTTGGCGTCATTTTAGAAATTGGTTGTCTACATCACCATGGATTTAACTCGTGAAAATTTTCGTAGCATGATATTCTACGACTTTAAGTGTAATTTAACAGCTCAGCAGAGCTTTGCTTAGCTTTAAACTGCTTTTGGCGATGAAGCACCATGCAAGACGACTATTTATAGCTGGTTTGCAGAATTCAAATGCGGTCGTGTGAATCTCAGTGACGAATTTCGTGATGGTCGCCCATCCACTGCTGTGAATAACAAAAACATCGATGCTGTGTGCCGTATGATCAAAACAGACAGGCATGTGCTATACCATGACATTTGGGCATCTTTAGGCATAGGCATGAGTCAAATACAATCAATACTACACAAACATTTGGGTGTGAAAAAGCTGTGCTCTCGGTAGACCCCACACAATTTGACTGAGGCTCAAAAAACGAATCGCGTCACGTGGTGCAATGCCATGCTTACCAGATTCAACAAATGGGCGTCAAATTTGGTGTAGGACATAGAAACAGGTGACGAAACAAGGATATATAGTTACAATCCCAAAACAAAACAAATCGAGCGTGTGGGTCTTTCGAGATGAGCCGAAACCAACCAAAATGGCGCGCGTGCAAAATGCCCAAGCGGATGCTTGCTTCTTTTTTTTAGTAAAACTGAACATGTGGCTACTGTTGCTAAGGAGAATCGTTGTACCGTAAATAGTGATTGGTACACGACCATTTGTTTGCCGGAAATTGTTGACAAACTCCGTAAAAATAACCGTAAACATCGTATCGTCTTGAACCACGATTGTGCTCGTTCTCACACGGACAGACAGACAAATGAATTTTTGAAAGTGAACAACGTTGACCTTATGAGCCATCCCGCGTACAGTCCCGACCTAGGGGCCTACCATAACCTTTCCAAAAACAATCTTATTTCAATGTAAGCTTAAAGTAAGCTTATTATAATATTAGGTACTGATATTGGTACCATGACGAACCTGTCAACCAAGTAATGTATTATTGCAAAAGTGATTAAAAGAACGAATGATTTCCCAATATTGTCTATTCCTTACTAAAAATAGGAAAGAGATAACGCAATGTGGACTATATATTTTATTTATTTTATTCATTTTTTATTTTTTTATTTATATCAGGTAACAAAGATCCATGTATACATACCTTATAGACTAACATACATAACAATATAAAAACAAAATACACCTATATTATATATACCTTAAAAAGAAAATAATGCCATCTCTTTCTTTTTCGATGTTCCGAATAATCTTATCGTAGTATAATGTTTAAGTACTTAATGTTATTTACATTCAGAGAATTTTGACTGTTAAGAAAAGAAAAGTATGTAATAATAAAATCTATTAAAATTACCTACGTTGTTTTCAATAATTATTCCGCATTTTCATGAAGAAAAATAAATAAAACACTGAGTCTTGATAGTCACGTTGTGAATTCGGAACTATAGTCTAGTATCAACTGTTAGTTTCGCCAAGGAGCATATAGATGGCGCTGTTATAATTTTACGAACTAAACATCGCGTATATTTATTTAACGAAAAATTATTTACTGTGTGCTATTAAATAAAAAATAAACAAAGCATTGAAGAGATATATGTAAATAAATAACTTCAACTAAACTTTTAATCATTTCAAATCAATGTTAAGACAATAAAACTGAAAATGATATTGTTTCCATTTGTTATTTTAAGATTGACATAAGAGCAATATTACTTTAATGTTACAGTCACGTCATAGTACGAACTGAGTGAATGAATAGTCACAAAGCTGCCAATAAAACATCATAGTTTTAACATTAGAATAAGCTTACTTTAAGCGCGTTATGGTACGAAAAGTCAATGTATGGTTAAAGTAATATTATTATTAGAGGATGTGGCACTTTTATTTATTTTAAAAAATTGAGAACCAGTTACGCGGTCAACGATTTTCATCACCTGAAGAGGCTGTCGAAGTGTATGAAAAATATTATGTTTCAGAGACTGTCACGGAGGAGTGGCATAAATGTTTTCAAAATTGGTTCATTTGTATGAAAAAATAATAAATTCATTTCTGACCATTTATAGTATTTTTTTTATTTATCCCGGAAACTTATAGTGCGCCCCACGTAACTGTTAAATGTCGCCGTGTTTAACCGCTCTTAATCGGAAAGTAACGAGTATTTATCTCCTGTGACGTAACTCAATCCGTAGCAGCTTCCTAAGTCCATACAAAATTTCGCGTTCAAAATGAAAGCACTGCATACAGAGAGGTACTTATTTATGATAAAGTAGAAAAATAGCAATAAATAAATGCAAGCGACAAAAGTAAACGACTGTTGATCGCGTCCACAACATGTTCTTTAGAAATGTATCATTTATTAGATTTCTGAAGAACAGGAACATGTTATTTATTGTTTGAAATTAATGGTAGATGTCCGCTGTTGCTTAGCGATTTACGGATATCTATTGAAATGTAGAATTCCACATCTTAGTAGTTGTAAGGTGTAATAGATGATTTAGTTGCAATTTACGGTTTTTGCAACTTTTATTGATTTTGTAATGAAACTTGTCTTTTAGAAGTATCTATCTATTAAATCGAAAATACGTCGCCTTGATATAGTCTGTTCCAATCCATTTTGAACAAAAAGTAAACAAACCTGTTTGGTTAAAATTCTAAAGCAATCACTCAATAAATCGAATAAGTAACACTCACGAATATTTCGAAGATTTCGGCTTGATATATCATCACTTTTTATGAGATCACAATTTTGGTAGTCCAAAAGTGAGGTTATTATTCCACTATACTTCTATGACTTGCCTATGGTTGCATAGTGCTGTTCGAAAAAAACATTCGGTTCAGTCAATTATTGTTTATTAATCGATTATAACATCGAACATTTCAATCGCAATCGAACCAGTATCTGAGTGTAAGGATTTGAAGGAGGATTTGAATTGAAATTTTAAATATGCTTATATAGGTTATGAAACACAGACATATATCTAGATAGACGCCGCAAGTACAGCAATTTATATGAAAACCACCATATCTATACATGTGTATCCGCCATGACGTCACAAGAACTATTTAGTGATGGGAAACCTCCTTCCACACTAAATCGATTGATTGAACGGAATACACGTACCTATTCCATTCAATTAATCGATTCAAGAATTCCTTGGTTGCAAGTAGTCGTGAAATATTAATATAGTAGAAAAATACCAAAACAATATAGTTATGCCCTTTATTTAATAAAAGTTATTTTTAAAATTATTTTAAGTTTATATAAAAGTTGTTTTTAAAAACAATTGATTGCTTAAAAATTTTAACTTTAATTTTTAGTCAACTTCAAATATTAAAATTATTGTCCTTGAAATAATATAAGCTTATTATATAACTGTCTTTTTGTAATAGAAGATCTTATCTATTTCTTATTCTTTTGTTATTTGTTTGTTGTTATTTCTCGGATTTCTAACTCTGCTACTGTGCATATTTGAATAGCATCTTAGGTGGGATAAACTAGACCACCTTCGTCCTCGAAAGCAACGATCTCATACATACCAACTCCAGGTTTTTGTAAAGACAGCGCACTGTTAATTCTTTGGATCATACTTTTTTTGTATTATTCGTAATAATTAAATAATAGTAATAATTAATATGTAATTATTGCATCACTATATTCGGACATTCGAGGCAACGTGGCCTCGAATGTCCGAATATAGTGCTAAAATTATCGAAATTACAGATACTACTAATAATAGATACTACAATACTGAAAAAAAAAAACGAAACGTTATACCAAACGTTACAACACAAGAGTTATAAAATATTTTTATAATATTGCTAAGGTCATAATAATTTTCGTCCCTTTGTTTTCAAAATCGATCAGAATCGAGAACAGTGTTGCTTAACGTATACATCACTAAATGTTAAATTTAGCCAAAATAATGTACAAGCGGCCGCACCACAGAAACTAAATGCATTATGCAAAAGTGCGTTCGTTCGATATTCATGGCGTATTAACAAAGGATCACAAATATATCGCACCAAGTAAAAGCCGCAATGTATTACAAGTCAAGAGGCATACACTGGGTTGCATATTTGTTTTCTCGAAATTCATACAAAACCAAAATAATTGTTTTTAAAATAAATTATGAATCTTCTCATTACAAAATCACTTGCCCGTGGAAGGTAACGTCCCTGTTTACCCCTTTACCCACAGTTATGGTGCTTTTCCAATTTATAATAGCATAATTATGCAAATTTTCGCGTTTTCGACTGGTGTTTATCTACGATAACGGTCGAGCGCGTTCTGAAGTGTAGCAGCGGCAAGTAAGTGAATTTCACTTACTTTGGGCAAGCGAAGTACGTACACTTGCGGCGTCCTATCTAGATATATGTCTATGTTATGTAAGGAAAACCGCTCGTATGACTCAACTGAACAAATCGATTCATTCAATTATTTAATCGATGTGTATTTGGCGTTACAATTGGACATCACTAAACCGTCTTTGGTCGGGTCAGTGACTTGTTTGTTTACTTTTTGTTCAAAATGGATTGAAACGAAGTATACATACATAATTTTGCATACCTACTACATCGGTATTTGCCTTATTCTAATTATACACTCGTCGCTTCTAATGTGCAGTTGATACCCTAAGATACGAATATGTGACACCCTAGCCAACCTTTTGGTTCTGAGAGCCTTCTTATGCATTGAACCGAAATGACGTCACACCCGTACGATTACTCAAACTTCTCGACCGGCAAAGGCTACAAACATTGTTCAGAACACAGTTATCGAACGAAAGTTACCGAACGTCCTATTGTTTACAAATCAAGAATGTAATATGGAAATCTCTTATTATTTTACGTAAAGTCTGGATTGTTTTCAATTTTAAGAATTTATTTTAATGCAAGACTAAGGCATTCCTATATTTTAGGCCTTTAAAGTCTTAAAAATGTATATAAAAGGATTTTCATTCTTCAAAAGGATTTACATTTTTATTACAATGTATTTCACCGACTAACTCCGTAAACGCTCTTGGATAAAGATGTCGTATCCGAATCCGAATCGAACGTTTAACTCGGAATGTTCTGAACAGCTCCGAAAGCGCCCTTCGATTTGATAACGATATCCAAACGAACGATTCGGTTAAAATATCGAAGGGTTCTGAATCAGGGGCCAGGTATCCCAGGGCATCAACTGCACATACATAGCAAAGATAGGTTTTCCATGTAATCGATTGAACATCCTAACAGGTATAAATAAATAGAGCAGGTTTTATGTTTGCCAAGGGAATATTCATATGTTCGAGCAAGAAATTCACTAATATTATGCAATTGCAATTAAGGGCAACTAAACGAAAAGCACCAAAAGTGTTAGTAGCAGTAAATATCTTTGTGAAAGAGTTCGTCCAAGGATGTACTGCCACTTTACCTATTTCTGCCGCCAAGCAGTAATGTGAACATTACTGCGTTCCGGTTCAGAAGGGTACGGGTGTAAATTGCAGGCACATGGGACTTGTCAACTTATGTCTTACGGTGTCGGGTGCAGTGGCCCTTCAGATCTTTGTGATTTGGAGCTCTGAGTGGTACTGCAACTGTTATGGACAGGCGTGTCGGTTACTTATTCGTCTCGTCACTTAGTTATTACAAAAAAAGACACTTATAACGTAATAAAATACGATTATATTGACGTCAACATCAAATTATTTTACGTTTTAAACATAATATCATTTAAAATTGAAAAAACATTATATATAATACTTATTGTACCACTTTTGTTTATAATACTTTGATTTTCTCCTTCTTTATCATTCCACCAATGGGTGATGCTTGTATACACAGATATTTGTTTACCTTGGATCCTTTTATTTAGCTTAGTACAAACGTTACAAATGAAATATGTATCATTGGAGTCAAGCCTATGACTGTCATAGAAGGTATAGTATCCATGCCATTTGAAAAAGTCAATGTATCTTTGTGGATTGCTTATAATGCTACTCATTTCTTCTGCGAGTTTCTTCACCCCTAACGTGCGAGCATTTAAATACATCCCATCGGGCATGAACCTAAAAAAAATGTAAGGTATACATGAACCAAAACAATAAAATTCACCAAAACTACTTCAATAAATCAATCAGCTTTTTATTGCTGAACTGCCACGCAGGGATCCCGGGTTCGACTCCCGGGCCGGAAGAAATATTTGTATGACCTACATTTATTTCTCTCGTGAGTTTGGGTGTAATTTATGGTTGCCTGTGTGTATGTCCATGGTACTCGCGAGACAGGGTTTTCCTAGTGTGTGCGTTATTATTATTATTATTTTTAATTATATCAAATGACTGGACAAACAAGTCCTGCCTGATGGTAAGCTACACGCCTGTCCATAACAGTTGCAGTGCACTCAGAGTTTTAAATTACAACTGAGGGGCACTGCCACTGCCCCCATTACTCTAAGACGTAAGTTGACAAGTCTCATGTGCCTGTAATTTCACCAGCACTCCATGCCCTTCAAGATAGGAATGCAGTAATCCTGACATTATGACATGGCGGCAGAAAAAGGGTAAGGTGGTAGTACTTCCCTAGACGAACTCTTTAACAATGAGCTCTACTGCTACTAAAACGTTAACCCATTTACACGTCACACTGTTCGTCTGAAAAAAGACCCATGGTCTCCTTTCAGGTGAATGTTTGGGTCATTTCGAGGGTTCATTTCATGAGTTGGGGTTTTCCTTCATTAAAAAGCTCATGGTAAATTTTCGGACATATATTCCGAAAAACTCGATGGTGTGAGTCCGGATTTGAAAACACGGCCTCTGCTTTAGAGACGGTAGATCAAACCATAGAAGACCATGGCGTAAAAAACGGTCAAAACACTTACTTTTCGTTAAATATATTTGTGAACTCAGTACAAAATACTTTGCATATAATAAACGGTATCTCGTGTGCACTCACACGCATAGCCCCGCAATAAGGAACCCTGTGTCGCGGGTGCCAAAGACACACACATAGACAGCCACAAATTACACCCAAACTCACGAGAGAAATAAATGTAGGCCATACAAATATTTCTCCCGGCCCGAGAATCGAACCTGAAACCTCTGCATGACAGTCAATGCAGACAATGTTAACCGTTCGGCCACGGAGGCAGTTGAAAGACGTTCAGTAATAACGATGCAAAATTGAACACTACTGAAGGAACTTACTATTAATGGGTTCCTTTATCTTCTAGAAGAGTAAAGCTATTAAACTGTAATATGAACACTACTAACTATCTTTACATTATTACCGAGTATAATTTGCACCTCCGTAGACCACGGGCACTGCGAAGTGAATTAACGCATGCAATAACTTTTCTGAGACGTAGTCTTCACAATGCGAACTTTCAAATGCTAAATAAAAATAATAATTTGACTCTATTTCAGAAGAACAACCATTTATTACTCCATCTCTCTCTCCTTGTGCCCTCGGACATTTTAGATTAGCAAATGAACAGCCGCCATAGATGTCTAGTTTCTCTCCATATAGCAGTAATTCTTCTTTCAAACTTTTGATGATTTCACTACGATTATTCTTAGCGTTACAGTCTGATACAATCACCGCTGCAGCAATGCTTTTGTACTGCAACTTATTCATGATATCTCTAGAGGTGGGAGCCATATCTTTGATATCATGTTTCCAGTGCATATGTTTTCTAGGTCCTATTACTTTACCGTGTTTGTTTCTTATAACGACATATGGATATATAATGCTGGATGTGAGTTTGTAAGCCAAAGACATATTAAATATCCCATTGAATTTTTCAGGTATGGGGTTGTAAAATGCCGGTTCAAAACCAACCAAAATGTACAACTGAGACTGAGATCTAATTAGTGGAAGACTTGTTTCTGAATTAATAAATTTTACGTTAAACAGCAAAACATCGAAATCTAACACGCTACTAAAATATGTCCGATTGTCTGTTACAAAACAGTTTTGGTAAAAACAGTTATTTTTAATAAAAATGTTTGCACCATTTTCAGTAGTAAGATATTCCCACGCACTTTCAATTGTCCACCTGAGTATGTAAATCAACCCAGGTAGCTTTTTATTACAGCGTACGTGTGACGTAAATACCACTATAATTAACAGCACTCTGATTGGGTAAATGCAGGCACTTTTGACTAGTTTTAAGTTCATGCTTGTTGTAATTTATAAAAATTATTTTTATTTCAATAACTTGTTTTTCGTATTTTGTGCAAGAAACTAATCACTGCGTGTCAGTGAAGACAGTAAGATTCAGTTGTCAGAAGAATGTATCTGTTTTGTTATAAAGAAAAATCTTTATTAGAAAGGAATTATGTTGAATTGTCCATTCAATTGATCTATTCATGAATAATGTAAATTTTTAGGATTCCTCTACCATAGCCCCTGAGTTATATTATACATTTGTAAAACATTTATTTCTCTCTCTGACTTTAAGCTAGCACCTCGCTGGCACTAGTAGTACCCAATAGTAATAGTGCATTATTTAATAATCTTGATAGTTCACAAACAGCTTTATAAAAAAATATTTTAAATGCGCTGCTTCCCCATTCCAAACATTTGCTAAATGGTGTCGGTAAGTACGTAAACCAAATTGAAACTTTAAAAAAGTGACACTGTTGCTTATTTTTCTTTAAATTCCATAGCCGTGTAAATGTACATAGTAATATATATAGTATATAGATAGATACAGTTCCATTGGGAATTTAGTTCGTGTATCTTTTTTGCAATTTCTATTAATTATTTTGTAATGAAACTTTACTATCCCCACTTAGAAGTACTCTTAAAAAAACCTAAAATACGTCGCACTTGATATATGTTGGTCCCATATGGTTTGCCATTATAATAGCCACTTGTCGCCTTATGGTTACATCTAACAAAAATGTATCTACAGCAAATTAGATTTCAATATTACCTTAGTCAATCGGTTACAATTTTGAAAATAGTGTGCTCACGTACCCTCAGTGCGCTAGGATCTTCACATAAAAGATTGGTTACGTAAATCATAAGCAAGTCCACGCCATTGGCCAATCAGACGGCCGTCAGCCGTTACCATGAGACCCTTAAAGAATATACGCGATTTGTATCCGAACATTCTCAGTTCAGAGTACTAAAAAACCGACCCGAAAAGTACGTGGAATTACATATAATTACCAAGCTTTATTGACATCGGTTACCGGAAAGTGCACTAACCCGGATTCATCCCCTAGTTCGCCACTATCCAGGACTTGACAAGAGATAATAATGTTTGGAATGGCGAAGAAAACGATAGCTATCAGTTATAATAATATATATTCACCACAATTTTATCCGTGCGGTGACGGATTAGAATACAATTCACCGCCCCTCTCTTCCCGTGGGTGTCGTAAGAGGCGACTAAGGGATATTGAGCAACCAGCTGCTCCACTGGTGGTAGGGCTTGAAAACCCGCCTGGTTAGTGACCACCGTGCGCATGATGGAAAACCCGCCAAGTATTCGCTAGTCGGATGCGTTCCGGGATCAGTCAGCGTACAACCAGAGCCCGAGGGAACGCTGCCGCGACATTTGTGGTCTGTGGAGGCTTCCGCCGAACCAGTGCCAGGACAACTGCATTGACCCGCCGGCCAGGGAGACCCGTAGAAACGGTTGTTCCGCTGGCCGCCCGCGGTACAGTACAGGGGCCCAAGCGTGCTTAACCAGCTCGTGAGGCTGCCTCACCATGCCGCGCATAATCTCGGTGTGGTTCGTCGTGCCGGTTGGTGACCGGGAGGTGGGGTCCCGGCGGCCATTCCCGGGGGGGTTCGGGGGCCCTTCCGTCCGGCGGATCAGCGCAACTTGTCTGTAGGCAAGTCTCTGGGGAAGCAGGCCCCGCGATTTGACCGCTTGTGTCGCGGCACTGTTTTCTCGCTTCACGCCTCTTTTTCCCTCCAACATGTTAGCGCAAAGTACAAATTTCGGTCGTACAGCGGTGCACACCCCCACCACTAAAGCGCTCTTTAAGGTGGAGTTCACGAACATTCGAGGACTCCACAGTAACATCCACGCCGTCCATCAACATCTTGAGACGGCTCGACCAGAAATGCTGTTCCTTACGGAGACGCAAATACTCTGCCCGGCTGACAGCAGCTACTTGAATTACCCTGGCTATATGCTTGAAGAGTCCTTCAAAGCGAAAGCTGGGGTCTGCTTGTTTGTCCGGGCAGATGTTTGCTGTCGCCGTCTGCGTCATTTGGAGGACCCCTCCTTCTCCATCCTTGGGGTACATGTTGACCTGGGCAGTCATTGCCGTGTCTACATGTGCCTCTACAGATCCCACCACGGCGACATAGAGACAACTCGTCTCATGGACCACCTTACTCGGGCGGCAGATGACGCGCAGGCGCAGTTTCCTACAGCGGAATTGGTGTTTTTAGGGGACTTCAATGCTCACCACGAGTCGTGGTTAAGTTCCTCTAAAACTGACCATGCTGGAAGAACTGCCCACACATTCGCTCTCACACACGATTTAACCCAACTGGTGAATCAGCCCACCCGGATTCCAGATAGGGTTGGTGACGCGCCCTCTTTGTTGGACCTTCTGCTGACGTCTTGCCCGGCTGGATATCGGGTGGTGGTCCAAGCCCCTCTGGGCACTTCGGATCACTGCTTGGTATCCACTAAAGTGGCAACGTTACTGCCACCACCACCTACTGTGGCTAAACGCCGCATTTGGCATTATGCGTCGGCAGATTGGGACGGTATGCGGGACTATTTTGCATCCGTTCCCTGGCGGCAGCGCTGTTTTAGTGAGGTGGATCCAACAGCTAGCGCGACTGCCGTTGCTGATGAGATCTTAATCGGGATGGAATACTACATCCCGCATTCGGATCTCGTCAGTAAAGGGAGGCGCAACCGCTGGTTCAACCGCGAGTGTGCTGTGGCTGTTGAGAACAAACAGACTGCATACCGCGCTTGGATCAGGGGTCTAGCTTCAGACGATCCCAATACGAACTCACTTAAAACAGCCTACAATAATGCCACCAGGTCTTGCAAAAGAGCGTACATCAGAGCGGATGCTCAGCGCGTCTCACGAGTTGGCCAAGAACTCTTGACGCATCCCACAGGTAGTTGTAGCTACTGGCGTCTGGCCAGAGCCGTTGCGTCGAACTTCTGCCAGCCCTCGCTGCCACCGCTGAGATATTCTGACGGCAATCTAGCCCACAAGCCGCAAGATAAAGCCGACCTCTTGGCAAATCTGTTTGCGGCTAACTCCTGTCTCGACGACTGTAACGCACAGCCACCAACTCTACCTCACTGTGGCTACACGATGTCTGATATTCGTATCAGACAATGCGATGTGCGTACGCAGCTGCAGTCTCTCGACGTCCGGAAAGCTAGTGGTCCTGATGGTATCCCAGCGATTGTACTTAGGAATTGCGCAGCTGAGTTGACCCCCGTGCTAACGCGACTGTATCGTCTGTCGCTCTCTTCAGGTCGCGTGCCGGACTCTTGGAGAGAGGCTAATGTGCAACCAGTTCCCAAAAAAGTCGACCGATCAGACCCGCATAATTACCGTCCCATAGCCATTACTTCCATAATATGCAAGGTTTTAGAGCGGATCCTTAATAAACAACTGACCCAATACCTAGAAGATCACTCCATAATTAATGATCGGCAGTATGGGTTTCGTCCGAAACGATCAACGGGTGACCTTCTAGCGTACTTATCGCATATTTGGGGTGAGACTATAGACAAACGTGGCGAATCGTTGGCTGTTAGCCTCGATATAGCCAAAGCGTTCGATCGGGTCTGGCACAAAGCTCTTCTCTCCAAGCTCCCGGCGTACGGTTTGCCAGCCCAGTTATGCAGCTGGATTGCCGATTTCCTTCGTGAGCGGAGAATTCGCGTCGTTTCTGACGGCAGCATTTCGAGGTTCGTGAATGTGAACGCCGGCGTACCGCAGGGATCCGTCCTATCTCCCACGCTTTTCCTTCTGCATATCAATGATATGCTTCCACTTGGGAATATTCATTGTTATGCAGATGATAGCACTGTTCATGGGGGATATCATGGATTCCCCGCAGCTGGGCGCGCCGATACTGACAGAGAGCGATCTGATCTTGTCGTTGAGCTCAATAGGATATTGGACCTCATATCTGCATGGGGATCCAGTAATCTTGTTGAGTTCAACGCCAAGAAAACACAGGTTTGCGCGTTAACAACAAAATTGTCGCCGTTCCTTCCCATGCCTTCTCTGATGAGCACAGCACTCTCACCTCGGAGCAGTTTCACCTTGCTCGGTATGGAAATCTGCTGTGATTTGAATCCAAGGAGTTACATCGAATCTGTGATCAAAACAGCCTCACGGAAACTCGGAGTCCTGAACAAGGTGCGACGTTTTTTCACGCCGGACCAGTTATGCCTGCTGTACAAAACACAGGTCCGGTCTTGCGTTGAGTATTGTTCGCACTTGTGGGACGGCTCCGCCAAGTACCTACTCGATGCCTTGGATAAATTACAGCGTCGTGCTACTCGAATTATAGGCGACGAAGAGGTCTCATCACGCCTTGAACCTCTGCAACTGCGTAGAGATGTTGCATCGCTTAGCGCCTTTTACCGCATGTACCATGGTGAGTGCTCTGAGGAGCTGTTCAACCTCATCCCCCCTTCCCTGTTCCTGCTCAGAAGCACGCGTGCTGGCCTTCGTAGTCACCGTTTCACTACCTGCCGCATTCCATCGCGTACTAAAAGGTTCGGTGGCTCCTTTCTCTGCCGCACGGTTGACAAATGGAACTCCCTTCCGGCACATGTCTTCCCTCCCTCTTATGATATGGGGTCCTTCAAACGAG